GAAAGATTGTTCGACCTATAAGAGGGTCACAACCCACAGGTTCAGAACCGCTGGTCTAGCAGTTTCTGTTGGACTTATCAAAAGTAAATCTATTACTAAGAAAATTAATAACCATAGAAATGAGATGTCTGAGAAGGGCTGCAGGGCTTTCAGCCATGATGGAGACTGAGAAAGAGAGTTCAGAGGTAAGTGGCTTGATGTTAAAATGAAAAAAAATGTAAAACTAGTTTTATTTTAGTTTTGGTTTGTCTTTCTTCTTCATCTTCTTCCTTGTGTTCACCAGCTGTACACTCTAGTTGAAATTTCTGGGTGTTCATCCACCTCTTGACATTAGTCTTGTTCCAGAACCTGGGTATTGCATGCACATCTGTTTCACATTTTGCTTATTTGTATGCAGACTCCTGGTTCCTTGCCTCTCAGACAGGTGTACTCTGACTTCGAAGGATGCCCCAAATAAGGGGACTCCTAGGACATGCTTGTTGGGGAGGCAGTGGGACTATTCTTGTTTTCCCCCCTAGAACCCAGAGGGGTAAAAGACATCTTTCACTGTACATGATACTTCCATAAGTATCCTAGTATCCTTCCATTCATCAAGCAAATACACATTGTTCACCCTCCCCCTTCCCCAATAAGCATATCTTAAAAGTCGACTTTGTGGGTGTTTCTTCCTAACTCGGAATGCATCTGCCTGAGAGGTGAGGAACCAACAAACTGCATACAAATACCCCACATCAGTAAATCGGATGTGCATGCAAAACTCAGGTTTTAGAACAAGACTAAAGTCCAGAAGCAGTTAAACAACAAGAACTTTCTGCTGAAGTTTACAGCTGGTGAACAAGAAGAAGAAGAACAAGAACAAGAAGGAACTGTTGTTTCAAGGTTATTTCAACTTTCACATTTTATGTTACCAGATCCCAAGTGCCCGAGCTTCAGTTGGATTTGTATTTGGGATTGTTCTTGGTTCAGATCTGCAAGCAAATACAAAAGGATTTAAAAGTATGGTTTTCTTTGTGTGTAATTATTATGTAGGGAATGTGCTCTTTTAACCTATTATAGCTGATATTTAAATACTGTGCCATTTAAATATAAGATAATCAAGTACATGCAATTCTAACTTCATAGCAAACGGGTCATCGCACATTTGCTCTTTTACTGTGCCATTTAATTAATGAGATAATCCATTACATAAGGAATCACCAGTTCTCTGGGAACAATCCGCTTGCTATATTCTGAATCTGTTATTCATGACACAAACAACATTTGCCACACTTAAAAAGCATTCTAAATTAAATTTGCAGCTCACAGTGTCATGTCATACACTTAACTTAGTAGCTGAGTGAAGGAACAATATCCTTTCAGTCTGCGTATGGAGGAAAATAAAATGGCTAACTATTGTCAGAACCAAAGAACTTGCCTATAGTAAAAAAAAAGGCCACCTATACATCATATGGAATGGAAGTCATGGTAGCATGGGTGTGGTGCAACTAGTCAATTATGTATAGTTTGTGCGTGTGTTGTATGTTTATGTTCACTTAAGCTATTGCTTTTATGATAAGGCTGGCTTTTTCTTTGTTGTTGTTGTTTTTCACTAAGACAGATTGATAGGTATTCAGTCTCTCTCAGGAAATGCTATAGAGTCAGGTTGTTTTTGATGTGCACCGGTCGCCAAATCTACCAATCAGCCTTCTCCATAAAAAATGTTGTCTGCAGTGAGTCACCAACATGTTAATATCTTTCACTCTGGCCTTTCACTACTTTCAGATTGCAGTTTATAAAGGTCTTGATATTATCCTTCCTTTGTATCACTAACTGCCTCTTGTTTATCTGCCTTCAATTTCTGTCCCCATCTGTTCAGTCAACAATCAGTCTTCTCATATGTTTTTGTGTTTTTTAAAGATTATCTTAGACTTCTCTAACAATAAGGTCTGCCCCTTGCAGTGTTTTGCAGCAGCAAATTTATCTTGTGACTTGGCCCTGTCAGTTCCCAAATATTTATTTTCTATTTTGTTGTCTCTACACCCGGTAGCTACTTAAAGCTTTGACAACCTTACATTAAAAATTTTCAGTCTGGATGGCAAACTCGAGGGGGGGGGGGGATGCCAAATACCCAAATCAATCTCCCCATGTGGGTTTTGGGGCCCAGTTAACGGGAAAACAAGGGTAGACCCACTGCCAACCTAAAAGAATGTTGCAAGAGACAACTGATTGGGAGCTTCCTTTGAAGTCAGAGTGATTCTGCCATGGAGGCAAGGAACCAACAGTCTACATACAAATGAGTCAGATCTGTAAAACAGATGTGCACACAACACTAAGGTTCTGGAACAGGACTAGAATTCAGATGTGGACAAACAACCAGAACTTTCTGCCAGAGTTTACAGGATAAGAAGAACCTCTAGAGACATTATAATTGGGCCACCTGTAGTGGCTACCCCAGACTGGTGTGACCTGCAGTCCTGTATGGGTAAGGAACTGTCTTGCTGTGAATTGAAAATCACTGTACTGATGAAATGGCATATAGGCTGCCTTTCTTGATATACACGGGGACTTCAAATGAAGACGTAAAAGTGATATAGAAATTGTAATAACCGTGCCATTGTCTCGTAACCTGTGGATGTTATTGTTAAGGATATCAAGAGTGTTAAGCACATGACTTTACAGTGCAGATGAACATGGTGACATCATGATGGCGGTTTAAAGATGGCTTGTGAATTTAACTTTTAGGTTCATACACAAACGAATTGTCTTTTACTAAAGCTGCTTATATAGTTACTTCTTCTTCTTCAGCGATCTCTGATCATGCGCATAATCCACTGTGGGTCATAAACTGGGATGTCTTTTCAAGGTCTCTTAGGTTTCCCTAAAGCTTAGTTGTCAGTTCTACTGGGTGTTGCATATAGTTACTATAGTTACTATTATTTGTTGTTAGCATTTTCAGCTCTCATTGTATATCTTTCTTAACCTCTCTTGTCTGGTATTTTACCATATTATTTTTTAAATCTCTGTTTACTTATTAAATCTATGCAACATAAAAATTTTCATTTTTTGTTTTGAAGGTTTTGGCAATGAGACAGCTAGTAATACAGTTGGGCTGTCTGGTAGAGAGAGTTTGAGCAGTGTGGGAACAAGCTCCTCATTTTTCAAACCTGCAGCCAGAAGGAAATTTAACTCTACAGCTGGAGAACTAGCTGGTGAGAAATTAATTTTGTAATGTTGTCATTTGGTGTTAAATCTCGGGCATACTTGTTCCCCTAACATCTTGCTGGAGACACTTGATCCGTTGCCAGCACTTTTACCTCATGCATTTTCATGCCCAGTTGTCTTTGGTGCTCTATTTTCTCAAACAGTAATCTTCTTCTTCTTCTTCTTCGTGTTCACCAGCTGTAAACTCTGGCGGAAGGTTCTGGTTGCTCGTCCACTACTGAACTGCAGTCCTGCTCCAGAAGCTGAGTGTTGCGTGTGCATCAGTTTTACAGATTTCATTCTCTTGAATACAGACTGTTGGTTCCTTGCCTCTCCGGCAGATGCACTCCGACTTCAAAGGAAGCTCCCCAATTCGTCGACTCTTACGACATGCTTTTGGGGAGGCAGTGGGTCTATTCTTGTTTTCCCCACAATGGGGCCCCGGAAACCACACGGGGGTCAAACAGTAATATTTTGTCATCATCTTTAGGTGCCTTGCAGTGGCGCGGTAATTAAGGTCACTGGCATGAGGGAAAGTAAAATCCATTTTGATTGGTATCAGGAGATACTCCATACCTCACCTCGGATGCCAGAAAGCTCTGGTCGGTTTTCTATATCCTCATGCAAGATTCCTGCCACACGTTCTCGTTGTGCGCTAGAGATAGTAGCTCACCTCTGTGATCTGAACATAGCTTACATGGGATCTCGGAGTGGGCGTCTCCCAGAGATAATGTTGCAGCAGGGAGTGTCTGGGGCTGTGGGCACCACTCGAGACTTGAAGGGAAAGCAAGACCAGTTGACAACCGGTACCATCAGTATGGAGACTGGTAGGTGATCAGGGAGAGGGAGCTAATATGTGCTTGTCCTTAAATGCTGTGATGTCCAGTCTTACCAACATGAACATAGAAGCAGACAAAGCCACAGAGTCCTCCTTACGATATGAATAAAACAGATATTGTAATTCATGATTGTTCATAAATAGTTAATCAATCTTTTCAGGTTTCAGAACCTCCACTAGCCAAACTGGCAGCAGCTTGTTTGGTCAGACTCCAGCTACTCAAACAAGCACATCAAGCTTATTTGGTCAAACTCCAGCAACTCAGACAAGCACATCGAGCTTATTTGGTCAGACTACTCAGACAAGCACATCCAGTTTTTTTGCTCAGACTCCAGCTACTCAGACAAGCACATCGAGCTTATTTGGTCAGACTCCAGCTACTCAGACAAGCACATCGAGCTTATTTGGTCAGACTCCAGCTACTCAGACAAGCACATCGAGCTTATTTGGTCAGACTCCAGCAACTCAGACAAGCACATCGAGCTTATTTGGTCAGACTCCAGCTACTCAGACAAGCACATCGAGCTTATTTGGTCAGACTCCAGCTACTCAGACAAGCACATCCAGTTTTTTTGCTCAGACTCCAGCTACTCAGACAAGCACATCGAGCTTATTTGGTCAGACTCCAGCTACTCAGACAAGCACATCAAGCTTATTTGGTCAAACTCCAGCTACTCATACAAGCACATCAAGCTTATTTAGTCAGACTCCAGCTACTCAGACAAGCACATCGAGCTTATTTGGTCAGACTCCAGCTACTCAGACAAGCACATCGAGCTTATTTGGTCACACTCCAGCTACTCAGACAAGCACAGTGGGTCTATTTGGTCAGACTCCAGCTACTCAGACAAGCACAGTTCGTCTATTTGGTCAGATTCCAGCTACTCAGACAAGCACAGTGGGTCTATTTGGTCAGACTCCAGCTGCTCAGACAAGCACAGTGGGTCTATTTGGTCAGTCTTCAGCTACTCAGTCAAGCACAATGGGCTTATTTGGTCAGACTCCAGCTACTCAGACAAGCACAGTGGGCTTGTCTGGTCAGACTTCATCTACTCAGACAAACACAGTGGGCTTATTTGGTAAGTCTTTAGCTACTCAGACAAACACAGTGGGCTTATTTGGTAAGTCTTTAGCTACTCAGACATGCACAGGCTTTTGGGTGGGGTGGGGGGGGAGGGTGATCTGGATTCATATCTTCAAACAAGCATAACAGGCTTTGGAAGTAGGACACTTACTTTTGTATATTTTTTTAACGCTATATTTTTTCTGAGTTTTCTTCAGTTATATGTATTATTATTATTTAATTTTTTATTTATCCCTTAAAATAGACTTGGAATGCTTACCATATCAAAGAGTCAGCTGATGAAACTTGAACGCATATAGAATAAAGCCATGCAGTTAATTCTGGGATGTTCAAGAGATACCGCCAGTAAGATGTATGCCATATTTACTTGCACTGCCTACTGTTGCTGACAGGTTCAAAGTTCTGTTAGCAAGGTCATAGCTCAAAGTAGCTGCAGACAAGAAGCACTTCCTGTATGAAGCCCTGGGTACAGCTAAGAGTTACAGACTGAAAACATAAGGGTCTTGGATGGCTCAGGCTAAAGACACAATCTGACATGTGTGCAGGCTTGATAAATTTGGGCGAGGTGAGGAGTAGGTCAGAGTGTGGGAACAAGCTTCTCATTTTTCAAACCTGCAGCCAGAAGGAAATTTAACTCCACAGCTTATACTCCACTTTTACCTCATGCATTTTCATGCCTAGTTGTCTTTGTTCTCAAAAGTTAATATTTAATCATCATCATCAGATGCCTTGCAGTGGCGCGGTAATTAAGGTCACTGGCATGAGGGAAAGTAAAATCCATTTTGATTGGTACCAGGAGATACTCCATACCTCACCTCGGATGCCAGAAAGCTCTGGTCGGTTTTCTATATCCTCGTGCAAGATTCCTGCCACACGTTCTCGTTGTGCACTAGAGATAGTGGCTCACCTCTGTGATCTGAACTGGGCTGGCATGAGATCTGAGAGTGGGTGACCCCCAGAAATAATGTTGCAGCAGTGGGGTGTCTAGGGCTGTGGGCACTACTCGAGACTTGAGGGGAAGGCAAGACCAGTTGACAGCCGATACCATCAGTATGGAGACTGGTAGTTTATCAGGAAGAGGGAGCTAATATGGGCTTGTCCTGAATGCTGTGATGAAGAGAGAGGGCAGCCTAGGTCCCACGACTGCATGCAGCCTATCTACCACCCCCTGAAAAAATAGACTGTCCCATGACCTGTGGATTTCTCCTGTTTGGGGTAAGATAATAATAGAGCACCAGTATTTTTTTTTTTTGTCCAGTCTTACCCAGATAAACCTCCACATGACATGAATAAAACAGATATTGTAATTCATGATTGTTCATGAACAGTTAATCAATCTTTTCAGGTTTCAGAACCTCCACTGGCCAAACTGGCAGCAGCTTGTTTGGGGCAAACACTGGCGCCACATCTTCCCTATTTGGCCAGACTTCAGCCACTGGTGCAATCGGTGGGGCCAGCGCTGGTATGGCCACAGTTGGGACCACTGTTCCCTTCAACCCACCAAATGGTCAAGATACCATGATGAAAAGTGGAGTTACCACGAACATCAACACTAAACACCAGTGTATCACAGCCATGAAGGAGTACGAAAATAAAAGTTTAGAGGTGAGTCCTTTTTATTACTGCTACAACTTTGTCATTTATTTTTAAACTTGCTCCTATCTTTCCTCTTCCAGTCTGGATGTATCACTGAAGAAAAAGACTACAAGAAGTGGGTGAGATGTTTTTTTTTAAATTTTTTATTCAAAATAATAGTTTAGAACGAGTTAAATGTTTAAATTATAAATAACCGTTTAGAGGAGGCATAGATTCTTAGAGATTTGATGTCCTGCTCTAACCTGTTCATGTCTGTTTCAGTTCAAAATGTGGGCTGTTAGGATTTTTACCATTTAAAAAATGAATGTTGGATGAGACTTTCATGATTGATGCATGGACAGTTGGTAAATGACAGGCCCTGCTATGAGTGTGTGAATGATAGTACGGTAATCTCACATAAACAAGGTATTTTGGTTCTTTATTGATATCCTACCTCAGATGACATCACAGGACAGTCTAACATTTTTGAGGTTGGTAAGACTGGGTTTCCCGGCTTTCCGATGTTTTTAATGACCCCAAAATATCTAGAACTGCCCTAACCTCAACCCACCTACAACCCACAAGAGAGGGCAGCTTAAGTCCTATCTACCACCCCCTGAAATAATAGACTGAGCCATGACCTGTGGATTTCTCTCTCTTTCTCTCTCTCTTTCTCTCTCTCTCTTTCTTTCTCTCTCTCTCTCTCTGTCTCTCTCAGTCATTTCTTTTTTTTTTGTGCACAAAATGTGTATAAGTATGTGTGGAGACAGATGAAGTGCTAGAAAATTTGTGTTTGAAAATTTTTTACAGTACACATAATTTATATTAATTTTCTGCAGGAACTTCGAATGGAAGATTACAGCACAAACCGTAAATCAAAACAGGCAGGCTCAACAAGCACAGTGGGCTTATTTTTTCAGACTCCAGTTACACAGACAAGCACAGGTTTTCTGTTTGCAGGTGGTCTGGATTCAGGTCTTCAGCCAAGCACAACAGGCTTTGGAAGTAGGTCATTTACCTGCGTATATTTTCTTTATGTTATATTTATTCTGCGTTTTCTTCGGTTATCTATATTGTCATGATTTCATTTTTGATTTATCACTTCAGTATAATTGTGGAAGTAAGGTTTGCAGCTGGAGCTACTGAGTTTAGTGCTCCTGGCAGCACTATGAGCTGTGATCATCGGTTATTAACTGAGTTCCAGATTCGTACATAATGGCAATGATGGGTGATGTATTTTACTTCCTTGTGTTCCTGGGACAAGGCGTGTGCTATAGCTGCTATTTATTTGCTAGCTGTGTCTACAACTTGGCCGAGGACATATAGAGAATGGTCAGGAAACTTTTAAATCTACTCATCGCCCAGCTATTCGTTGAATGAAGTTGATTTTCAGCAGTGACGCCTGGTCTCGTAGTGTGTTTAAGGAGGTATGTACCTTATGGTTTGCCAGATCAAATCCTGTGTGTTTTCCTGACTGAGGACACTTTGTATGGATACCGCATCCACTTGAAGTATCCAGTGTACCAGACTCCGTTTGTGACTGGAATCACTGGCATTGGTGGTTGAGTAATTATGGGCCTAGCTCGTTTGCTGTGATACCAGAACCGTAACGATTAACTAACTAACTAACTTCAATATAGATGTTGGTTATTGCTTTGCAAATACCCATCAAGGGAAATTCTCATGGGCTAGCACAGTGTTAATGCGATGACCTAACACACTTCCTGTACATTTTTCTTTCTTCTCCAAGCATCTGGTTCATTTGATAAGTCTGAAAGTGTCTAGTTAGCTTGCTAGATAGTTTTGACACACAGAAAGGTAGACTTGCAGGCAATAGAATTTACTATCGTTGTGAATTTTGTTTAAAAATTGTAGTTGTTTCAGTTTAAATTTTTCCTGCCTGATCTCTGGCAGATATTAGTATTTTGGTACAGTCTCCCTCTCCCCCCCCCCCCCCCCCACCCCCCCCCCCTACACCCCCCCCCTCCCCCAACTCTTCCTCCCACTTTATTTCTGTCTGTCTGTCTTTCTATGTCCTGCAGACACAAACACACACACACTGTCTAATGCTATAGTCTGTGGCATAACATCTCATATGTCATACAATATCGCGCATGTGTGTATATACAAAACACAAAATCCATGTGTTTGTTGAAAAACTTGAAAAAATGCTGACTCCTCTCAAATGATGACTCGAAGACATGTTAAACTCACAGGTGTCATTCAAGCTACAGTCTTCACAAAAACAGACATATTTGCAACCATGGCTTCTGCATATTTTGGCATATTAACTGACAATCACTCAGTCATATTTTTTTTGCAGGAGTTATTTCCCTTGCAAGATACATAAAACATTATATTCCTTTTCCGTTTATTTAATAAACCACAGGCCCCAGGGGAAATCACTCTGAGTCACAGGCACTGCATATTGTCATATTAAGTTGGGGTATGGCTATAGAATTAGATTTTAGAACAGATTTTTCTTGAACTCTACAGCATATTAAACATTGTATGGTCTGACTGATATTCCATAGTCAAGTATTGAAATAAATTTGGTACAAACAATTACTTAGAAGAAATGTAGATTGCTTATACTCTATCCTGGGCGATGCCAGGAAATTAAATCTAGTATGTATGTGTGTGTGTGTGTGTGTGTATATATATATATATATATATATATATATATATATATATATATATATATATATATATATATATATATATATATATATATATATATATGTGTGTGTGTGTGTGTGTGTGTGTATATAATGTGTATGTGTGTGTGTGTGTGTGTATATATATATATATAAGAATTTTTAATAAGTATTTGTTTCATGTCAGTGTACTTGCCATATCTCAAATATGGTTGATGTTTGTGCTCATGCCAAGTTTTATAATTGTTTTACATTAATTAAAATTTTTGTATTTCAGGTTCATCGAGGCTTGATAGTGGATCTGTTTTTGGAGGTACAATCAGAAAATGTAAAAAAGTATACAGAAGAACCAAAAGATAAAGAAAGTGCGGAGGAAACAGAAAGAGCAGTCAGAAACTCCTTCATCACTCTTACATAAGCAAACAACATAGAAGTCTTTTAAAACTTGCATTCTGAACACAGTGAAAGAGAGAACTGCAGCATCAGAAAAGACCGGCACTCACAGAAAACATGCAATGTTGTGGAATAAAAATGTTAAACTTTCTGCCCGGGAAAAGAAAATAATTGTTCTATAAGTGACAGAAGACAAAATCAGACGCAGACTACATCAGCTATAGAAAAGCTAGAAAAGAGAAAAGGGATAGTGAAAGTGGCAAAATCAGAATCTTGGGCAGACTATGGAGAACAAGTAGCAAAACTATGCACTGAGTCACCAAGAATGTTTTACAGAAGTGTTGGACAATGAGACTGGAAGAAGAAACATTTTATCTGTCCATTATTTTTTTTTTTAGTATCCAGAAGCCATGAGTTGTTAACCCTTAGGCTCGGTATTATGGATATCGCAACCCTTCCGCCTTAATTCCATGATAAATACCGTAAATCTGGGAGAAATGTGGCTTTTCTGCCTACCCCCGTGCGTAAACCCGGACCACAAGGAGTTTGCCACCCGGTCACCCCGCAGTCCGTTTTAGCCAACTATGCTAGCGAGCCAGGCTTCCGTTATTATTATTAACAGCAAGTGTAAGAAACCATTCACCAGCAGTCAAGATATTAGAAAACGGATGAAAAGAATATTGCAGTCCGCTGTTAAACTGTGGAACACTGGATGCAGTACCAGCATCATCATCAGGTGCCTTGCTGACTGGCGTGGGCGATCATGCCTCTCCATAATCCACGATTTCCTGCATATAAAATTTGCAAACGAACATGGACTAAAGATACTGGAATCAGAAGTTGTAAATGCCCTTAAAACTAAGTAAAAAGATCAGATCATTGGGAACAGATGGTATTACAACAGTAATGCTCCTTGCATATAAGACAGCAGCAACAGCTTGGTTGACCAGAATCTTTAACTTAGCTTGAGATGCACAGAAAGTTCCAAGTGACTGGCAGAGAGCAATCATTTGGAACAATAATGGAGACAGATGAGACTGAAACATACAGGGGCATCTCCAAGTTGAACTATACTGGAAAGATGTTTTGCAAAAATACTGGAATTAAGAGCTTGCCCAGTACTTAAAAAATCCAGTTAATGACAGTTCGGTTTCAAAAAGGGAAAGAGCTGTACAGATGCAATATTTTCTTTGAAGCAGATATTTGAGCACTCTATTGAATATGATAAAAGTCAACACCGTATATTTAAGGATCAAGAGAATATTCGGTCAAGTCAATAGATGCAAACTATGGACAATTCTAGAAGATTATGGTATTTAGGATCAACTGTTGCATGACATCATGGGTCTTTATCAAGATAGTCAGTGCACAGGGAACAACGAACACATGGTGGCACTTTGTGTCACCTGGTGTTTATCGCTTGTGTGATGTCCTTGTGGGATAAAACGAGACAGAGAGAGAAAGAATGTATTTGTTAGGTATGTGGGGAACTACTAGACCACTGGGGGAGGCATATCCCCCTAGGAGTGTGGAGGGAAGTAAAGGGGGAGGGGGCCACCAAGCAAGAAATTGAGTGCATCTTTACATGTTACAATCTGTTATGCTAACATTTGTCCAGTTATAAGTACAGATGCAACGAGTCAAGTGGATTTTTTTTTTTTCTTCATAATGGACCTTGGCTCCCAGTTCGACCTAGCCTTAAAATGCCTACGAGAGTTAAAGTTTTAAGAACTAAAGGCGAACGGCCTGATGTTGAACATAGCACCCAGCTAATGCCGATTGGTCTCTACAATAGGAATAAACTCACAGGGAGCAAGTACAGCAGGGATCTACCAGTCGTCAGTAGAAATTATCCTCGTCAACGAGCGTTTCGGCCCACGATTCCTAGACGCTTTCGGAGGTGCTTCTCGTGCTTGGCTGTGCCGATCTTTACTCCCAATTCTCGTATTCTTAGCAGTGATGTGGACACATTGCTCCAAAATCATCGGAATGTCCTATCTCTCTGTGGCAGTGTTTCCCAAACTCTTCTTGGTCGCGGCGCCTTTTTTCACTTATAATTTTTCCACGGCGCCCATACCTAAGTAAAAGTATGACTATTCGTGTCTTGGTTAAATTAATTCTGAAGCTTTTACAGTATTTCGCGGCGCCGCTGTGAAGAGGTTGCGGCTCCCCGGGGCACACACTTTGGGAATCACTGCTCTAAGGGCATTGACAATGTCTGCGTGATCCATGGACCGGCCATCTTCAATTAATGCGACACCTAATAGTCTATCAGCTCTTTCATTACCAACGACACCTGCATGCGCTGGGACAAATATAGAGGTAACTGCGTAAACAGGAGAATTTTGCAGTGACTCAATCCATTGTCTGCCTGTCCACCCTGCCTCGACCTGCCGGGTCACGCTCAAAGAATCACTTAGCAGACACACGCGGGAATAGTCCTGTGATTCTAGCCACGTGAAAGCCTGTGTCACCGCCATCACCTCCATCGCCATGCTGCTGGTAGTCATGGAGAAGGCACCGCAGGCTTCTTGAACTGTTCTGCCTGAAGATCGAGCTGTAAATGTCCATGCACTCTTTTGTCTTCGTATAACGGACCCGTCTGCGAAGATCATCACATCTATCTCATCTGACTTGTCACTGATAAGCGTGCATACCTCAGAGTTAACAGCAACAGGATCTGCTTCCGACAACTCATATCAAGCGTCACGAGACAGGAGAATATGAGCTTTATCCATTCCTCGTCTGGATGGATATCTGTGAGGTATGATGTCATCCTCTGCCCTACCCAGCTATAATTTGCCCGCTTTAAGTCTATTGCCCTTTTTTTCCGAAGAGCATGTGGTGCAAAGGGTGATTCAGGTATGTGCTTATATTGAGATATGCACGAGCCCTCCAGATCTTCATCCTGTAGTTCATGGTAGGGAAGTCAAGAAGGTACCTCATTGCTACACACGAGGTGTCGTCTGTGCACCCTAGAATAATGTGCATTGCATCATTTTGCACCTCCTCAAGTCTTTCATCTGAGTATGGCTGACAGTGAGTATGGCGAGAGCATATTCGATGGGAGAAAGTACAAGTCCCTGGAACAGAAGCAGTCTGCTCAGTCTTAGCGGCGACAAGGACCCTCATTGCTGACAGGACTTTGCGTGCTTTTGTTATATTAACTGAGGTTAACACGAAGAAGGGTTAGACAAAGAGAGAACGTCCTGGGCTAGGCAGTCTGGTATTATATCATTATCATCATCAGGTGCCTTGTCGACTGGCGTGGGCGATCATGCCTATCCATAATCCACGATCTCCTGCAGCATGTATCAGTTCGTGTGCCGAAACACCTCCATGCCATGCAGCAAGACTGTCAAAAATCTTCTCTCGTTGTCTTTCTCTATCCCTCCTTCCACAGATCTTTCCAGTGGTCACAAAATGTTCTATTTTCCCTCTTCTAATGACATGGCCGAAAAATGATGACTGTCTCCTTCTGATGTCTGTGATAAGTTGTCTTCTGGCTCCCGCCTCTTTCAAAACTTCTTGGTTGCTCTTTTTGGCTGTCCGAGGTATTCTAAGCTTTCTTCTGTAAAACCACATCTCTGAGGCCTCAAGAAATTGTTTGGCCTGCCTACCGATTGTCCAAGATTCACAGCCGTATGTTAAAACTGGATGTGTGTAGCAAGCAAGAATTCTTTTTCTAACTCTCAATGACAAAGATATATTACACAAGATATTCTTCATTTTATAAAATGCAGTTTTTGCCTGTCCTATTCTGTTTCTTATCTCGGTTATGCATCTTCTATCTGATGTTATCCATGTGCCCAGATACTTCAATTTCTGTACTTACACATTTAGGAATAATTCGTTTCTTTGATACCACCATTACTTTTGTCTTCCCCTTATTCAAACTGAGGCCCATTCTTCCACTTTCTAACACCACGATGTCCATCATTTCCTGTTGTTCTTTGACTTGTTGTTATCAAGACTGTGTTATCGGTATACCGGAAATGGTTTATATTGTGCCCACCAACTACAAATCCGGGCATATCAATTTAAGATCTCATTATATATTCACTTTATATTAAAAACAAATCAGGGGAAAGTACACATCCTAGTGGTGCGCCCCTCTTTATGCTTTGAAATGTACCTAAACAGTTGTTAATTCTTATAGCTGCTGTTTGCTGCCAATGTATATTCTTTATAATTCGTAGATCTTTTCCACCACACAAGAAACAGGTTTACATTACAGAAAAAACTTTCAAGCTAATAGAAGAAAGAAGAAATTTAAAGCAAGTAGGGACAGAAAAAAATAGCCAAGCATATAGGAACTACACGAAAGAAATCAGAAGAGCTATCAGAGAAGATTTAAAAAAACAGTTTATTATAAATACCTGTAATAGAATTTAACAACTCCAGATGCAAGGAAGAGACAGAGACATGTTTAAAGAAATTAAAACATTGAAATACGAATGCAGGCCTTCTTTACATGTAATAAGTGATAAAAACGGTAACACAGTAACGGAAACCAAAGACATATTAGAAAGATGGAAAGAATACTGTAGAGAAATGTATGAGGATGTGACAGGTAATTCAAAAACGACTTGTGAAAGTTATGAAAAAGAACCAGAGACTTTACTGGATGAGGTACGATGAGCAAGACACAGCCTGAAGAAAGGAAAGTCACCAGGTTGCGACGAAATACCAGCAGAACTAATTCAAGCAGGAGGAGAGGCCAGCTTCCGAATCTACCATGCACTGTGCTCGAAGATCTGGAACAGTGGCATTTGGCCTAAAGCATGGAAAAGAACAGTCTATATCCCTCTCCCAAAGAAAGGAAATCCAAAGCTATGCTCCAAATACCGCACCATGGCATAAATAAGTCATGCTAGCAAAATCCTCTTACGAATTATCATGAAAAGGATTAAAAGGAAATTACAATATGAACTAGATGAAGCACAAGCGGGTTTCAGACAGGGTAG